GTGGGAAATTTGCAGGTTATGAGTAGGTTATATGAACAGATCTGATTAACTCGTGATGTGGAGCAGAAGAGGCAAGTTAATAGATCTCAGTTTCCTGTGAAACTAGATTTTCAAGATGTATCGCAAAATGTACTCCTTATGTTTCTACATTGACTACTCAAACAAGGGAATATAGAAAAGGAACCAGATTTGTCATTTGTCTACACTGCATAATTTTCATCCAACACAACTAATATGTGTTTTGCAAAAATACAGACACATGGTGACTCAGCCCCACTAGAAATGATGCGATCTGGACTGTGGATCAAAGATCAGGTAGCTCAGGACTTGGTTCTATGGAAAAATGAGAAAGATTCATTTATCAAGTTCCATTAGGTGATGATTGACTGCAGATCATGCATCACTATGCAAGTTCCAAGCGATATTCAGATATACAGTCACAACCCAGAGACACAAGTGATGACTCCTGTGTTGTACGTTGTAACAGTACAACAACAACAACATAGCCTTTCAGTCCCAAGCAAGTTGGGGTAGGCTATTTGTACGTTGTAACAGTAAATTCAAAAATTTAAAACAACAAAACCTACCTGTTCTAGTATAGTTAAGAGCTTCTTAGACTTGTCTGGCAGATCACTTAGGCGAATAGCTGCAATATCTAGTGCAGCCCTCCCAGCAAGAGGCAAGTCTGCATTCTCATCAGCAGCTGCTGCAGGTGATTTATCCAGGCTTGAGCCAAAGCCAGAAACAGAAAAGTTTGTTCCAATCCTGGCAAGTGTAGCTCTTAAAGAAGCTTCAAAGACTGAGGTTCTGCTAGTTAGGCAATCAGCAACTGTAAGAATCTGCAAAGCACCTTGGACAATAGACCATTCTTCCTCTTCAGAAACATCCACCAATCGTTGTACTTCCTTTTTCTCTAAACCTACATCTTTCTTCAAGGCATCACTATCCAGTCCACAGACTATCCTCAGGGACTTCAATGTTTCTTGGAGATTAGATATGTACTGCAGCATGACGTCATCAAGAGCCAGTACCAGTTCATCTGCCTCTGAACCGCCAGTCAGAATAATGCATCTCTCCACAGCTGCCTCAAGAAGTACTATCATTTGTGGAATGGATTCCTCCATTCTGCGGACAGTTTCGCTCAGCTCTATACCCTGTGCACCAACACCACGAGGGACAGCCCCACGGATGTCTATACCTGCCATCTCAGCAGAGAGTATAGCACGCTCCATCTGCCCATACCTACATGACGCCCAATAAAAAGACATGCAGCACCAAACGATTACTACCATCCATCAGTTGCATCAAAGAAATCTCATAAATGCAGCTGGTAACGAGATGCAAAACAATGTTTTTCTTTGGTGGTTGTGTTTGCAATCTGCATTGACCAACTGATTTAAGCTTTTACCTTGCTTTAAAGGTTTCATATGGGGAATAAATAGCTTTCAAAGTATTCAGCACAACTGCAAGATCTGATTCTGAAAATAAGTGCTGAATGTTCCTAGCAAAAGTGCCAGTCATATTGTGCAGTTCAATTAGCGCTTGAAGATGCTTATTCTGCAACTTAGTGCTTTTTGGTAAGTCACCTGATAGAACATCCAATATACCTGGGTACAGAGAAGAAAAATACAATTCACTGTTAGGAAAAACAAGCAAGATTAAGCAACAAAGCTAATAGCTTGTTAAAGCAGAAAAATATATGTGATAAAACCATGGGATAGATGTAGGTCAATATGAAATTAATGAACAGTTTATGCATTACCTTTGGCAACAGATCTGGTTTCAGGAACAACATCGCCAGTTGCTATATTTACACGAGAGACAAAGCCTGAATTCAACTCACTCATGGTCTCAGTAAGTACTTTTGGTACTAGTGATTTGTATTCTTCAGGAAAAGCAGTCAAGCACCTGTGAGCATCACCATTTCCATTTTAGAGCATCCACGGGCTAAATTGCAGTTCTGATGGAGCAAAAGAAGAGTTCTCTTTTTTTGTCTAAACAATGTATTTTCTTCATTATGCCAGATATTACTTAGGGGCTGATTCTAAAAACTAACTTCTGATTAACCACTTTACAACTAGTACTCGAAGGAGGAGATCACCATGAACATACCACTTCCACTCTTGTTCAAGGTAAAGCAGTGTCTCATCATAGAAATTAGGCAGCCAGCTAGAGAATGAGAGGCCACAAATGCTTTCGCCACCGAGCTTCTCCATGTCTAGCCTGCTGGATCTTTGCTTTAGATCAAAATCTTCCCAGAGTTTCTTTAGAGGCTTAACATGGATCTTAGTGTATTGCGCCTCCAGCGACTTGAACCTATTGATACGTATCAGTATACCACGAAGGTCTTGCACAGCATCAACCTTCCAAGAAAGAAACAGGTTCTGAGTAAAATAGATATGCTTCATGTAACAAATACAAACTACTGTTTTGTGGGGGGATATACCTTGCGATTAGAAAGCGCATCTACTAAACGAGGCTGCACCATTTCATCTAGCCGCTCTTCCAATACTTCAAGTTGTTTTCTAACATTTGCAAACTCGGCAACCTGAAAGAAACCGTCTTATAAGCAAAACGAACAGGCTGTGTATGCAGCTCATAGTTTTTTGCAGGGAGTATGACACCTCTCCAACTGCTGACAAGCAATGTCTCATAGTTGCCAGGGTTTCTGCAGCTTTTGGAAGATTGCCACTAGAAAACACATCCTCAACACTCTGGCTCAACTGTGCTAACCCAGCAGCATCCTGCCATTCCATCAAACAAACTCTTAAAAATAATAAACAAGAATTTACCACATTAGTAAAACAATACTCCAGTGGTGTGTCATGGTCTACAACTTTAGATAGACCTTACCTGCAATGTTGTGTATGCAGCTTCCATGCGCTGTTTCACAGTATCAATTCGTGCTAGTGCAGCTATCGATTCTGCAGATGATCCCTCAGCCTGGTTGGAAATATAACCATGAATAGTTTGTTAGTTGCCGCCTTGGCAAAAATGTAGCTGGAACAGAATACAGTATAATAACAAGATGGAGTGAGCTTGGGCAGCGGGATAGGCTGCGACCCCCTGAGAGATTAGTATAGTGTACAAGAAAGGTTCTCTCATGGTCACACCACTGGAGGGCAAGATTTTATTTTCCTTGCATCTTGTTGTACTGGAATTTTATCATCTGAAGTATGTAAACATTACTACAACTCCATGGCTCTTCACTTTTTTTGGCAAGCAAAATAGAGTTTTATGCAGATCACCTCTGAATCTGAATGTCTGAATTGCTCTTAATTTTAATTCTTACATTACGCTCAAGTTTGTAAGTAATTAAAATGACAATATCCTAAATTAGTCCACATGCAACTAATGCAACTATGTCAGAGTGTAGCTTAGTTTCACAAACCCCGGAGGCCCGGAACATTTTGAGATCAACTTTTAACTAGTAGCAAAATGGGGCAATGAAACCTGAACATAAACTGATCAAACTAAATGACTCAGTCGTGAATTTCGTACTACTTGTAAGCTACAATTGTACTCATGTTGTATCCAAGGCGAAAGCCCACACAGATAAAAAACGACTTGACTAGACACGGAATGCGAGATCCAGATCCATCTGAACTATACGTGCGAAGAAACTACGCGCGGTAAGCTATTCCAGAGCTCCAATCAATCCGTCTCGATTTCGCGTAATAAACGAACGGGAGTGCGAGTGAGATCCAGATCCAATAAGGAGCAAGCCACAGGGACGGAGGCGCGTACCAGGGAGAGGGACTGGAGGACGGAGGCGAGGTGGGGAGCGCAGGGCGACGGCGTCGTCGCGGAGGCGTAGCGCATCGCGGCATGCCAGCGGGACGCGGCGGAGGGCGTCGCCGCTGTCCCTCTCGAGCGCGGCCGCGGCGTCGTCGGCCGCGGAACGCAGGCGCTCCTCGGCGTCGGCGAGGAAGCGATCGAGAGGCGCCGACGGGTGCCGCGCGTCCAGCGCCGCGTTGATCCACCGCTTCGGGTCGAAGCCCTCCGCCCCGAACTCCGACGCGTCCACCACCACCATTTCCGATGCACGCCGGGACACCGCGCGGGTTCCCTTCACTGTCCTCTCTGTCTCGGCTCCTCGGATGGCTTCACTGCAGGGGACGAAGGCGTGGAGGTGTTACGTGAAGGGCTTTGTACGTTTGAGGTTGGAGGAGTGTAGGGTCTGCTGCTGTTGTTGTTGGTTTTTATTTTATTTTATTTTATTTTATTAACAAAGGAGTGTACCTGTGTAGGGTCTGTTTGGTTGACTTTTCTTATATCTAATTAAAAATTATGGTAAGCCAAAATTTAGGTTTGTTAAAATTAAGGTTTGCTAAAGTAAGAGCAAAAAACATAGATGTGCATTAAAAATACTAGAAAGCACTTTTCTTTCTTATATTCAGTTTATAAGAAGTTTTTAAAGACTTGCTAAAACTTTGATCATAAACATTGATATGCTAATTCCTTGGCAATGAACTAATTGTTGACTAAAAGTTCTGGCTTATCATGATTTTGATTGTGCAAGAAAACCAACCAAGCAAGCCCGTAGTCTGTTTTTTGGGGAAAACTTTTTTTTTTCATTTTCAGTCCTAAACAGTAAACAAAGCACGTAGGAAAATTATACATTAAGAGTGCTACGTAGACACAATTCTGACGTGGATGGGGTCCCTTTTTTTCCTGGAACACGTAACAAAATTTCGAGCTGTTTTGCAGCTCATAATAGAGGCCATCATCTGCTCTCGGCAGCAGAGAACACTACCAGAGTATAGTTTCACAGGCATCAGCATTAGATACAAAGAGTTGTATGCTCCGTACATACATACAAGACAAAAAGATGCCGAGGGCCTACGAAGTGGAATATATAGCAAGGCTTAGCCTAAACCACAGTTGACCGGCACACTAACATGCAAAAGAGCATACAATACAACTGATCACCATTCAATGACGATTAGTAATTTAGTCCTAGTTTCTTCATCAGAACGGCCAAATTCAGCCGCTGCGAGTCAGTGGGTCCTACCCCCAGCGAGGAATGGATCAGGAATAGCAGCAGGATCCAACTCATAGAAGCCACAGAGCGTGCCACCCTTTTCTTTTGTCAGTTGGAAAGAGGGTATCCGGTGAGAAAACCGCAAGTCATCTTTTGTTGGCACCTCCAGGATACACCTCTCATTGTCTGGCCTGAATACAGTTCTGTAGCCATCAACCTGAGTCAGAAACAAGACTTTCTTGCTAGCTTCAGTGCGCGCAGTTATCGCGCCAATGGCATATTCACAGGCATCCTTACTGGAAGGAACCCAGCCAGGTGACCAATTGCAGTAGATCGCCCAAATCTCCCCTACTTGTGGGTGAATTTCAAAGTGCCGCGTTGAACGTGTTTCTACTACATGAGAGAATGCACCATTTGTGTCATACTTGATACTCCAGTAACGGATTTTAAATGTCCCACAGCTCACAGGTACGTCATGCTCTAACCACATATTTTCCTGTTCTGATCGAGGGCATGCTTCCAGCCAAGTCAGATGCACTCCAAACGGATGTAGATCAACTTGTGAAACCCAGCCATAGTATTTTGGAAGTTTATCAAAATCACTGTAAAGAGCCCATATCTGGCCTCGTGCAAACTTAGTATTCAACCGGCCTTCTTCAAAGTTGTAGAATACTGTTTTTGGATACATCAAAATAATGGGGGAGCAGCAGCCTTGCAGAGCAGAAGAATCAGGCACACAAGAATCAAGAGTAACTGTTGGAAATGCTACGTCCAAGTTACTAGGAAGCGATACGGTATCTAGTTTAAGAAACCCACTAGGGACGCCAACCTTCTCATTTCCTGTTCTGAAAAATGGGATACTGTGGGAAAACCGAAGTAGATCACTCGATGGTATAACAAATGATGATTTATCCTTTGCTTGTGCAAACAGACTCACAAAACTTTCAACCCTGACCAAGGGGATAACAGTGACACCAGCTTCCATTGTAAAGTTTGAAAGGACCTCCACCACTTCATACTCATAGGATCTATGATTGTCTGCATCTGAGATCCACTGCATACTCCAGCCCTTATAAAGAGCCCATACCTCACCCTTACTTGGATGTATTACATAAGAACCCCTTGTTCTGCCTTTAGCCCATGAAACAATGTGAGAAAACATGAGGGGATGTTGTGACTCTTGTGTGTTTCCTCCTAACTTAAAGTTCCCACAAGCCACAGGAAGTTCATTATAAGTCCAATTGTCCTCATCATCATTCACTGCATAGTGTTCCAGCCAAGTGAACCGAACTCTGAAGTTGGTAGTATCAAGATGTCTAATTCTAGCATAATATCTTGGCATGGCATCAAAGTCATCATAAAGTGCCCATATCTGATTAACTGCAAACAGTTTGACATCCCTACACTTTCCGAAGTCAAAAAATTCCGAGTCAGGGTATGTGAAGCTCCCAGCATTGCAAGGCTTCCCAGCAGGTGTATCACAAGTTCTTTTATTGTTTCTTTTATTGCCTTCATTGACAGTACAACTTTTATCTTGATTATCTGTTTTGTTGTAGACATGACATTCACTAATTTGTCCATCAGCATGGGCAACATTATCAGCAAACACTTCATTAGAACCGCAGGCAGCATTTGAGGACCAATCTTTCAGCGTCCGACTCTTTTTCTTTGGAGAGTTAAGAGTGTTGTCGGCATCAACATATGCCTTTCTCCTAAAACATCTCTGCGGAGTAGGGATTCCTGCAGCACCTGGCACTGCTGATGTATCCACCCCACTACTTAGGTTTTTCCCATCACCAAAATATGGTACAGTGGTGTCAGTTTGCATCCTTCCATCTGCCCTATCATTTCCATTTGGTGCAGATGCTTTAGAAGGATTTGTTGCAGAAAATTCAACTCCTTTCCGACTTGTCTCTGTATGATCAACCATACCTTCACCACCTGGTTTTGAACTCCTCTTCATTTGTTCATCACATTGTGCTGCATTCATCACAGGACTTGTCTCTTTGTTCTCTCTAGAAGAGAGATTTGTAGAACAGCCTTGTTGAGTAGGAAGACAGCCCTGTCGCCCATCACTATTTGCTGTTTTTGATGAGAATACAGAAGTCACATCCTCTGTACTTATCTGGTATGCAAAGAATTTTTGCCTGCAGTTCCGACAACGGATCTGAAGATTAAGTATGTTGCCATGGTACTTATATTTTCTTTTACAGTGGATGCATATGGTCCAAAATGCACACCCATCAGTTGGTGATGAATCTGATAGTCCGTATCTTGCTGTGTTACTTCTATTTGCATCGGTTCTGTTAATCGGCTCTGTAGTCTTCATTGGTTGTGTAGCCTGCTTTGGCTGTGCAGGCCGTTCTGATTCCTCAGCCAGATTAGGTTGTGTAGCCTGCTTTGGTTTTGCAGCCTGTTTCGGTTGTGTAGCCTGATTTGGTTGTGTAACCCGAGTTGGTTCTGCAGCCTGTGTCGGTTGTGTAGCCTGCTTTGGTGCAATTTTGAAAGCAACCCTCCATTTGACATCATATACATGTCGTTTTGTTTGATCAGCCAATGTTGAGTATGCTTCTGCAACAAACTTCAAAGCAGAATCTGCACCAGCATAACTGTTTTTATCAGGGTCAAGTAAGAGAACAAGCTTACAAAACTGCTTCCTTATGGTCATCTCATCCGCTGTTCCTTCTACTTGGAGAATTCCATAAAAGTCCAATATCCCATTTACCTTTGCTTCTGCTGCACAGTGTACTTCACAGACAGTTAACAGCTGGGGTATGTTCTCGACCTCTGGAAAAACCCTCTGTGCTTTAAGGGCAATCCTTTTAGCACCAGCAAAGTCTCTGTTTTCCAACTTCTTAGCAGCAATTTCCATGGCCTTCAAGGCCTCTTCTCTGCTGCACTCCATTGTACTGATTACGGAATTGGTTCCCAACAATCCAACATCAATCGCTGTCACACAAAATATTACCCACACAAGGCTTCCAGGCTCTTTCTTAAACCATCCAAAAAGTATATGAACACCTTGAATAGGTTTACTTCTCTCCAATGCAGATAGAGCCTATGGCATGGTTAATGGTTAGGTCAGAAGCAGAGATCACTGTGTAGGTGGCTAATGCAGACCATGCACGTGCAGCGATTCTCCAGATGAAGCAGCCTGAGAGACAAGACAATCAGAAATCAGGATAAAATAGTACTCCCTAAGTCGTTCTAGCTAGGTCCATTGCTTTTGCTACGCACGTATTAAAAACAATGTATCTAGAAAAGTCAGAACCACTTACAATTTGGAATGGAGTAGGAATTTTACACATTGCAATTCCATCATATAAACAGACTTGATGAGTTTTTTTTTTCTAACTTCCTTCCCTACCCATGCAGGATTCCAAAAGGAGTTATTAAGGGCATGTTTGAGACTGCTCTGCTCCCAACTTCGCTAGCCACACAGGTCAGCTCCGCAAACTCCACTCCAGGAAAAAAAGTGGAGTTGAGGGCTAACTCCACGTTTTTTGCGGACCTCCTCAAGGAGTACTCTACAAACTCTACTTATGAACTTTCTCGTGGAGTTGGGGTAAAATTCCCCACCGCTGACACTAATTACACAACATACCCCTTCACTTTCTTTCTCACCAACGCCCACCGCCCCCCTCCTGAATCTTTGCCCTCTGCACCACCTCCAACCCCTACTGGTGCCGCTCAAAATCTGGCGATCACGGGCTCTCCACATGCGAGTTGATGACCAGGATAGATGGATCTGGTGATGCTCAGCCAGATGAACTCCTTTTTCCTCACAAATCCTCCCCTCTGCCGCATCTATCTACAAACCTCAGCTCGCCTTCGCTGCTGCAATTGGTCATCAATGGGGCCCTCCGCTGGGGTCGAGGGCCGCCCTCCCCTGGCCATTCAGCAAGCGCCGCCAGCTGCTGGTGGCCCATCCTCCGGCCTGCCGCAGCACCCTGCTGCTTGGCCTGGCGAGGCCCCAGCCAGCCACGGTCTCCCAGGGCATGGCCATAGGCAGTCAGGCCACTTGCCAAGGCCGGCCAGGGGTTGGCGCTGACCAGCCGCCACCGTGCAAGGTTAGTTCAATGTCAGGTGTGCGGCGATGATTACTGCAGGCAAGAGTGGATTCAATAGAGTTCTCCTTTACAGGCTCATGTGGCATTGCATATCTAGTTACGCTAAGCGATTTTCTTATCTAGCACATTTGTGTTGTTTATGCACCACTGATGGCATTGATAGAACGGACTGAAATAAAATTTTGGCAAACACTAACAGGGCACTATATGGTCTCAAATTGAGTATGTATCGGTATTGGTTGATATTGTAATTCCTTGTATGCCAAAGGATCGAACAATTAATCTTGTTTGTTGCAAATCAGGACTATACGCATGCTGAATGTCTGCAGTGTGTCAGAAGCTGATGTGATACGCTGAGGGTTTAATTAGTCACTTATCCTCCTATGTTTTTTTATCTAATGCTGACCAATTTCATAATTTTCATTTTGATATCAATCAGTTCTGTATTTTAGTGCTCAAATAACTGAGATATGTGCTGCATTATGAATATTTCTAATTCTATTGCAAGCCTTTGAAATTCTTTTTTAACAGGACTCTAGATTTTCATATGGTCAAAGGATGAAGTACAAGATCTCATCACAAGAAAGTTCACTATTTTGATATCATTTGTATTTTATTTTGGTCAGAAAAATTGTATCATATAGAATCATTGAATACAACATCTGTGTCATCTTCTTCTCTGTATAGAATTTAGGCTTGCCACTGACACCCTTCCCCAGACACCGCATAGAGCGGGAGCTCTCTGGGTACGCCCTTTTTAAAAAAAATATTATTATGATATATGGTACTATGAACAACGAGTTGCTTGTTTGTGTAATTGATGTTAATAAAATGTATTATATTGTTTTTACCCTCGTTTTTTAACTAAATTAGTTGCAATTACAATATTTCATATCATATTTCAATTAGTAAAGAAAATGGACACTTGCGTACAAACATCAAAATATATACCAAACATCGTTCAGGGGCGTATTAGACCTTTCCCAGCTAAACCTCCCATTCCTAGAGCTGAAGTCGGGCTATGTGCCAAATAGGCGCATCTGCTCCAGTGTAGAGCTGCAATTCCATGGTGGAGTTGGTGGGGCAGAACTAGAAAAAACGGAGCAGGGCAGTCCCAAAAGCGCACGCTTCAGCACGCTCAGTCGCTACGCGGACGGGCCACGCGTGGAACATAAGCGCTCCCAAAGCGGCGCGACCGTTTCAGGAGCGGAGGCGGAGAAAAGCGCCGCAGAAGCGAGCGACTTGCCGCGAGACAGCCACTCGGCGGCAGCGGCAGGGCCGCGGGGGCTGCGCGGGAGCTCTATTTGCCCGAGGGGAAGGCTGTACGGGAGCTTGACTTGCGCGCTCGAGCGACCACACGGGAAGACAAATTCTACGGGCGGAACGGTAGGGGACAAAAGCGGAAGACAATGGAGTGGGATAGGGTTAGGGAACGAGACCTGCGCCGCCACCGCCGGACATGAGGTCGAGCTCGTCGGCCTCCAGTCTTCTGCTGTGCACTCACATGCCGCGACTCCGAGGCCCGAGCTACTCCCTTTCCTGCATCTCGTGGTCGCCACACCGACCTCCGGCGTCCCTCTTCACGTCTACTTGATGCGGCGGCGGTGGCGGAGAGGTGTGGAGTGGAAGTGGAACAGAAAAGAGTGCGGGGCCCACAAAGAATGGAGGGAGTTTCGCGGTTTCGCCTGGAGATGGAGAGGGAACGAGGGTCCCCACTAAAAATATAAAAATATAATAATTTTCCACTCGGGCGTTGCGCCACTTCGGCTTTCGCGGCTTTTGCCCGCGGCCGCTATTTTCGGTCGTTTCTCCGCGAGCAGCGCGCAAGGCCCGGAACTCGCCGGCGCGCCGCATCCGCCTCGAATCCGCTCGTCTTGGGCCCATACAGTGTCTGTAGTACTAATCTGGGCCTTCTGCTGCTGGGTTTAAGTTTGGACTTGTATTGTGTCATTCGGTGAAGGAACGAGGATGGGGAAGTCCAACACGTCGTTTTTCTAAGAAAAAAGTCAAAGTTACATCCCTCGGCCGCGAAAGTCCATTTTTCCTTTATGAACTCTAAAACCGGACAAAATACCTCCCACAACTTTTCTTACCTCCCGGCCCTGTTATGAGTAGTTTTGAAGACGGTTTTGTCTTTATTTATTTATTTTAGCTGAATCTTTGAAAAATCATAGTAAATCACAAAAAAACATAAAATGGAAAATCCAATTTTGTTGGACTCCACATGAGTAGATCTACACAGTGAACATATAATATGGTATGCATTAGTACAAAGTTTTTGCTGTGGCTTTAGATCTATGCTTTTTTTAATTAATTGGAATAATTCATAGCTGCAGTTCTATGGTCCAATTGTGATGAAATTTTTATGGTGAGCTAATTATTATATGATTGAACTGTAGTAAAAATTTTATACTCATTGGATCATGTATGGCTTAGTTGTAGATTTATTTATATTTAACAAGCATAAACCTAAATAAAATCTATAACTAAGTTATAAATGATCCAATGAGTATGAAATTTTACTACAGTTTAATCATACAATAATTAGCCCACCATAAAAAATTCACCACAATTGGACCATAAAAACTGCAGTTATGAATTATTCCATTTAATTAAAAAAAGCATAGATCTAAAGTTACAGCAAAAATTTTGTACTAAATCATACCATATTATATATTCACTGTGTAGATCTACTCATGTGGAGTCTAACAAAATTAAATTTTCTATTTTATGATTTTTCTGTGATTTACTATGATTTTTCAAAGATTTATACAAAATAAATAAAAAAGAAAAAGACAAAACCGCCTTCAAAATTGCTTATAACCGGGCCAGGGGGTAAGATGATCGGTTTTAAAAGTTGAGGGAGGGGTTTTGCCTAGTTTTAAAGTTCAGGGAGAAAAAATAGACTTTCGCAAAAATTAAGAGAGTTAATAAGAACTTCTTCCTTTTTCTAAGTTGGGCTGCTTGAGCTTCTTTAGACAACTGGGCTCAAAAAGCCCATCACGGAACTGGCCTGCTATTGGCATTGGAGTCGTGGGAGAGCGCGTCCAGATGGTTCCAAAGGCTGCTGGTGGGGCCGAACGTGGAACTCCGCCAGACCCGCCGCCACGACCTCTCGTGCGCAGCGCGTTGCCGTGGCCCGTAAGCCGTGACGCAACCCTCCGTTGCCCACGATAAAAGCTCCACCCCCGGCCCCCGACTTCCCCTACCCATCAGTCTCCTCCCCCCGATCGCAATCGTGAGATTTTCGCACCATCGGCACGCAGACGAACAAGCAAGGCTCTCCCGATCGGATCGTCAAGGTACGCGTTCCCTCGATTCGTCCCCCTCCTTTCTCGATTTGTCTGTATGCGTGTATGGTCGATTCCCGATTATATGATGGTCGATTCTCGATTTCGCCTTCCTTACGAAAATTCATGTAGATTGTTCATATGTTCTATGTTCCCTTGAGGTTCTAGGTTGATCGGATCGATTTGACCCAGTTATATCCCCTCATCCGATCAGCTCTGTTTTTATTTCAGTATACCCTAGTATCTAGGGTTCACCGAGTGGTTACTACGAATTGTTTCTTGCTGAGTTCAGTTGTTGCCGTCCATAAAGGCCCGCGCTATTTTCTATTCTAAAACGAAATATTGTAGATTTTATAGAGTTAGGGTTCAATTCAAAAGGTTGATTATTGAATTACCAAATTTGAGAGGGTTAAATCATTCCCATCATGTTGTCTCGAACGTAATCCAAAGATATTATAGAATTATGTTTCAATTCTATAGACTGATTTGTGTATCATCTAAATTTTTTCCACAACGGTAAACCCGAATTTCATTACCAAAGCAAC